TGAACCCTTGGGCGGGGATCTTTCTTGCAGATGGCAATCGCCCGTTCATAGAAAGTTCTTGCTCTTTCTCCTGTTTCCGTTCGCGCCTTAGAATTTCTCTCGTCGTATGGGATTCTGCTCATGCAACCCAACTGAACCATAGCTGAAGTGAAAAACATTTCTGCCAAGTCCTCAGGAGAGTCGTGATTTTGTAGTAAAACCTCGCTTCGTCGTAGAAATTCCATAATGGCTGGAACCTTTTTGGTCTTCCTAGCCCTAGAATTATAGTTGGCTGCAAGTAAAAAATAGGCCCGTGCAATTAAAATGCTCGGATTTCTTAGCTTGCAATGCTCGGCGAGTTCTATGACTGAAGTGAAGTAGAGCTTGCTTTTGCCAAGTTGTTTGTGGTACATCAATGATACTCCTTGCTCAATTATAAGGGCTAGTTCCATGTCAGCGTACTCTTTTTTGGAACAAAGTCTCGAGTACAGAGAGAACAGTTGGACATCTTTTTTCAGCCGTCTGTTTTCCTGAAAAAGTTGAAACTTCTTAAAGACTAGGTTGCGATGATCTCCATTTGGAATTTGTTGTTTATTTACTTCCATGTCTTTGTTGCCTTTTTCTACCCATCGTTTAAAGAAGCGCTTGTGGTGCTCAAACTTTCCATTGTCCTGTAAAAGTTCCAGGATTTTGAGGAATTCCTCACATTGCGGTCCGTTAAGGAAACCTTGCTTTCTTATGACAGGTAGTGATGGCTCAACATCCAGCAATGTTTCACCGGATGTATTGCTCGGTTTCTGCTGACTTTCCTCTTCAGAAACAGCTGGTCTACTGAAACACTGTACGGTACCGTCCGCTTATACTTCCATTGGTTGTATTTGTTCAACCTGGCCGACTAAAACGGCATTGCAGTTCTTGAAAATTACATTCAACGTCTTTGTTTTCGTGTCAAGACTTGTCTCAGCGATGACCGTAGTTGAATCGTCTGGAGTAAACATGAATGACGCGGTATTGAGATCGCTGCAAGATTGATGTCCGCCAGGCATGCTTTGCTTTAGAGATACCGGCACCTCACTACCGCTAACTGAAGAAAACTCCATTTCAGTCTGTTTGTAAATGTTCGTCATCGCTGTTCACGCGAAGAAATGCCTCTTTTTTGTCTGCGTGGTTGTCACTTCGTGACTCAATCAGTTTAGCATTAGCCGATTTAAGACGTCAGTATTGCAGTTGTTTTGAATTATTCCGAAGTACATTTTGGGGCTACCTCGTCGGCGAAAACCTTTCACGACTTTAAAAACAGGAGTTCGAATTATTCGTCGCTCTGCACAGAGTACGTTAAAACAGAAATGTCTTTTTTCCTCAGTAACGAAGAACTTCGACATTTACGCCGAGAAAACTTACACTCTGAGGAAATAAAATATTCATGTTTCATATCTGCGTTTACGTAAATTGATCTATTTCGAAAGTTTGATACGGAAAGTCCCTCTTCCAAAAGCACGTCAATGTGACGGATCTGTTATTTCCACTTCTCTATCGACTTTCTCTTTCCTTCATTAACACTGATGAATAGTGGAAGTAAAGCTAAAGTATTTTTTTTGCATTCATTGTTTTACTTTTTTAATTACATCAGTGCCCGGAAGTTCAAACCTAAACAGCTGAGCTTCAGAAATTAAAAACTATATAATGACAAAAATTAAATTTTAAGCCCATTTTGCTTTATGTAAGCACGTTTTTATATCCTTTCTAGGTGTTATTTTATTTGCTCTGTAGGACTGGAATGTTTGCTAAATGTAATGTTACCGTGAATCCCTCAGCTTACACGCCAAATCTCCCCCCCCCCCCCNAAAGGAGCCATATTTTATTACCTCTTCCATGTATAATTCGTGCTGTGTGTTTCAAAGTATCTATTGTTGCCGAGAAGTCACCGCGTGGGTTTTGGGTACAAAGTTCAAGGTGCACGCAGTTGTACTGTGCATGAGTGAGGTCATGCACAATTTCCTAACATGACATCTTCTCATTTAAAGATAGTTCTCAGAAATATATACAAAGTTCAAACAGAACATCACTAAGTCTACAACGTTTTTCTGTTAACTTCAAAATCGTCCAGGGGATCTCAGAGCTAGTATATGTAATAGGACTACATGCTGTCCAATTTGGAAATAATTGGATGAAAAAAATTCTGAGGACAGCCGAAATTGGACGAGGCCGCGGGCCAAGTCCAATTCGGCTGTCAGAGTTATGTTTTGAATCCAATTATTTCCAAATTGGACAAGCATGTAGTCCTGTTACTTAGTAATTATATAGCTCGTGAGGTAATACAGCTTTGCACGGAAAACTACAGCAACTGTCTCTGAAGAAAAACAGACCGGGCCATCGATCTTCAGAAACTTGGGAAAGCTTCGAAAATATCTGATGATCTTCGGAAATCCTGGGAAGTGTTCGGGTGATCTTCAGAAATCTTCGGGTGATCTTCGGAAATCTTCGGAAGAGTTCGGGCGATCTTCGGAAGTACATAAGTAATCTTTGGAAATCTTCGGACATGTTCGGGTGATATTCGGAAATCCTCGGAAGTGTTCGGATGATCTTCGGAAGTCTTTGGAATTATTTGGGTGATCTTCGGAATTCTTCGGAGGTGTTCGGGGGATCTTCGGAAATCTTCGGAAGGTTTCGTGTAGCCTTTGATAATTTCCGGAAGGTTAATAGCTTAATTTCATTGGCTGAGAAAAACTGTTCTATTTTTCCCCAAATTGGACAGCTTCTGCGTTTTTACTCAAAGTCCTTATTGAAAACTGTCCAAATTAAATCCCAAATTGGACAGTTTCCAGAAATGAAAGGATAATAGCTGTGCTGACAGTACTGGATTAACTGACTGCTATATAATTATCTCACTAATAGCCGATGGCAATATCTACACAATTTCTATAGGACTCTCTGGTGGGCTTCGAATCCTCTGACTTCTTTTGACGGGTTGACCAACTTGCCGAACATCAGGCTGCGAAGGTGCCTCGTGCTCTTCGATCCCATCACCAGTGTATGATGAAACGGGCTACACTCATCACTGGCTGGTTCCCCTCCATGGTTGGCTGAAGATGGATACGATTCCTACGCGACAGTGTCCCATCTAGGGTTGCCACAATGTATGAACTAGGAGCGTGGTACTGCTTGAGAACCACTGTGGGTGTCCATTGACGATCCTGCTGTATTAGCATTGTAGGGTGGAACTCTTTCTGACGTTTTTTATCTTTATGTATGTGGATGGTTTTGATAGGGTACATTCCGTTCCAGAAGACTCAGTAGTGCTGGTGCTTAATTTCTGTGTTTATCGAGATCGTGAAACACTGAAGTACCTTTACTCATTCTAGCCTCTATTCAGGTTCACTAGAACTTGCCTCGCAGCTGGCGTCGCTGCCAGAAGTTGGCAAATCATCATCAACAACCAGCCTAATCCTACACTC